TGTACATTTTTTTGCGGGGGCCGGGTTTGAATCCGCCACCTCCAGTACATGGGGCTGGTGCCCTACTCCTTGAGCCACAGATGCTGCTCCTGTATGCCCCCTTTTTCCTTTTCTTTTTTTTTCTTAAAGAGACAGGGTCTTACTCTGTCTCCTAGGCTACAATGTGGTGGTGCAATCATAGTCCACTGTTAACCTTGAACTCCTGGGCTCAAGAGAGCCTCTCTGCCTCTTGATGGGACTACAGGTATGCATCACTATGCCTCATTAATTAAAAATAAAAAAAGTTTTTTGTTTTTTGTTTTTTTTGAGACAGAACCTCAAGCTATCCCCCTGGGTAGAGTGCCTTAACATCACAGCTCAAAGCAACCTCCAACTCCTGGGCTCAAGCAAGTCTCCTGCCTCAACCTTCCAAGTAGCTGGGACCACAGGCGCCAGCCACAAGGCCCGGCTATTTTTCTTTTTTTTTGGTTGCAGCCATCGTTGTTTGGGCGGCCTGGGCTGGATTCGAACCCGCCACCTTAGGTGTATGTGGCTGACGCCTTAGCAACTTGAGCTGCAGGCGCCGAACCAAAAATAAAAATTTTTTTTTATAGAGTCAGGGCCTCACTGTGTTGCTCAGGTTGGTCTTCAACTCATGGGCTCCCACATTGGACTCCCCAAATGCTGGAATTACTGGTGAGAACCACCATGTGCCTGCCCCCCCCCACCCCAAGTTCCTGAATCAGATCCCTTCTCTCTCTTTTTTTTTTTTTTTTGAGACAGAGCCTCAAGCTGTCCCCCTCGGCAGAGTGCTGTGGCATTACAGCTCACAGCAACCTCCAACTCCTGGGCTCAAGCGAGTCTCTTGCCTCAGCCTCCCAAGTAGCTGGGACCACAGGCACCCGCCACAACGCCCGGCTATTTTTTGGTTGCAGCCATCATTGTTGTTTGGCGGTCCGGGCTGGGGATTCGAACCCGCCACCTTAGGTGTACGTGGCTGGTGCCTTAGCCAGTTGAGCTATAGGCGCCGAGCCCAGATCCCTTCTCTTAAAAAGCACTAGTAGGTCAGCTCAGTAGCTCACGCCTGTAATCCTAGCACTCTAGGAGACTGAAGCGGGCAGATTGCCTCAGGTCACAGGTTTGAGACTGGCCTGAGCAAGAGCAAAACTTGTCTCTGAAAGAAAAATAGCCAAGCATTGTGGCGGACACCTGTAATCCAAGCTACTCGGGAGGCTTAGGCAATTCTCTTGCCTAAGCCCCTAGAGGTTGCTGTGAGCTGTGATGCCATGGCACTCTACCGAGGGTGACAAAATAAGACAATGTCTCAAAATAAAAAGCACCAGTAATTTCTTCAGGGAATTTTGCTTTTAACCTCTCATTCTAAAACTGCCACATAAAAGTTGGCTATACTGGGAAAAACAGACTATCAAATGGTTAATGAGCTTTTCTTAGAGCAAAACAGCCACTCTAGGGCTCTAAGAGGGGTAGATTACTACTTGTCATGTCCCAGAGGAAGTGGATAGCCCATGTTCCCTGCTCCTTTTGCAGTAGATGGTAGAGGGGAACAAAATAGAAAATACAGACTGGGAGACTATATTGTTAGACTTCCTTGGTTTCCCAACCATAAAGATGTATTCTGAATGTTTTCAGAAGTATTTGTATATCTTAAACTGGAATTATATTTGTTTCTTTTTCTTTTTTCACAAGTGGTACAAAATTCAAAAACTGCAAAGAGTGTATCATGAAAATAAATCTTTTATGTCCTTTCAGAAATAATTTACATACATGCAATAAGGTATGTGTGCCATGTATTTTGAATTCTTATTCTGTGCCTATATGAAATATGGCCTCCTGGATAGTAGTAATGTTGCTTTTGTTGTTTAAAATGAGTAGGTTGGCTCGGCACCTATAACTCAACGGCTAGGGCACCAGGGCTGGTGGTTTTGAACCTGGCCAGGCCTTCTAAAAACAACAATGATAACTACAACAAAAAAATAGCTGGGGCTTTGTGGCAGACACCTGTAATCCTAGCTACTTGGGAGGCTGAGGCAAGAGAATCGCTTAAGCCCAAGAGTTTGAGGTTGCTATGAGCTGTGACACTATGGCACCCTACCCAGGGCAACATAGTGAGACTTTGTCTCCAAAAATAATAATAATAAATAAATAAAATAAAAGTTAGGTTGTATGTACTGAGTGAAAGGCCAGTGATAGCAAATATTTGCAAAGCCTTTGTTAGTTTTCAGAGTCTTTTCACATACCTTTTCCTACTGGTGCTCAAAACAGCCCCTTCAGGTAGGGTAAAGCAGAATTTATCTCTTTTTTTTTGTCTGGGGCTGGGTTTGAACCCGCCACATCCGGCATATGGGGCTGGCACCCTACCCTTTTGAGCCACAGGCACTGCCCCAAATTTATCTCTTTTATAGATGTGAAGTTTGAAGCCTAAAGAATTACGTGACTTGATCCAGGTTAATATATGATGCAACTGGAATAAGAACCCAGGTCTTCTGACTCCTTGTCCAGAATTCTTCCTTCCATTTTGCCTCTCAGACATGAGGACATAAGGGGATCTATCATACTATGCTGTATTTTCCTTTATGAGGTCTGAAAAATACTGAGAGTAGTTGATTTTAGGTGCATTTTGAATACTGTATTTTGGTAGTTGTGGTATAATAGTTAAAGCCTCACAGCTCAGAAGTGTAGGTTTTTGGATGTATTCCTACAAAACAGTTTGTAAATCTTAGCGACTTTAGGATGAATAATGCTGTACATGCCACTACTGTTATGTGTGGACACAATAACGGGCGATTGAACAGTGGAAGCAAGGACTTCCATTCCTTTATATCTTTATATCTGTGTGCCTGCTGTGGCTGGGAGCCAAGTTGATAAACCTGTCCAGGGTTCCTCCCCTTGAGCCTAAAGTGGAGTCCGAAGAAGCATTTGACAGAGTGCCTGTCTTTGTTTCCTTTTTCCATAAAGTAGGTGAAAATGCTGTCGCCAGCACCAAACTATGTTCTGGATTTCTAGTCAGCTCAGAGAGAGAAAAATGAGTGGTGGGAGGAAACAGTTTGATAGTGAGCTCTCACAGGGATGATTGGTCTCAGAGTAACTCATTCTTCTTCTTTTTTTGAGAGAGAGTCTCACTTCGTTGCCCTAGGTAGAGTGCTGGTAGAGTATCACAGCTCATAGCAACTTCAAACTCTTGGGCTTCAGCAATTCTCTTGCCTCAGCCTCCCAAGTAGCTGGGACTACAGGCGCTATCCACACGCCCAGCTATATTTGGTTGTAGTTGTTATTGTTGTTTGTCAGGCCCGGGCTGGATTCGAACCCTCCACCTCAGGTATATGTGGCTGGCACCCTAGCCACTGAGCTATAGGTGCTGAGCCCACAGTAACTCATTCATTCACAATGGAGAAATGAGATGAGTTAAAGTCCTTGCAAGGATTTTATTTTATTATTTTATTTATTTGTTCATTTGTTTGTTTGAGACAGAGTCTCACTCTGTCACCCTGGGTAGAGTGCAGTGGCATCATAGCTCACAGCAACCTCTGCAACCTCCATCTCCTAGGCTCAAGTGAACCTCCTGGCTCAGCCTTCTGAGTAGCTGGGACTACAGGTGCCTGCCACAACGCCCAGCTAGTTTTTCTATGTTTCTTTTAACATATACAGACTCTAACTCTTGCTCAGGCTGGTCTCCAGCTCCTGAGCTCAAACAGTCCACCTGCCTGGGTTTCCCAGAGTGCTAGGATTATAGCATGAGCCACCGCACCCTTGCAAAGATTTTTAAAAAATCCTTACATTTCTTAAACATTGAGAAGTCTAACATAGAAAGTTGACAAAACAGTTGAGCTCTTATATATGAAAAAAACAATCCCTTTCAGAACTGAGTATATAGGATTCCCTTTTTTTAAAAAAAATCCCTAAATATTTCTGAGGGGAGGATGTCTATTTCCTATAATATAATTTATAAGTACCTCATTTCTAATTCACAGTAGAAAAATAGAGGGGAAAATGAAGAAAGAATTCATTTTATTTCTTATATAACAGAAAAATGGTTTTATAATTTACATTTTATAAGCTTTTTAAAACTATATTTATGAAATAAATATTTTATATTCATAGATTTATAACATTATAATCCACTATAAAAGTTAATACATTTGCCGTAATGAAATGATGTCATTTTTGTTCAAAAACTATATTACTCTTTTTATTTGGTATTTTTTATTTCCTGCTTCTGGCATAGAAGATGATAAATTATACTAATTTTGAGTATTTCCATTTGGTCAGTTTAACTAGTTTTGAAATTTTCTTAAAACAAAATTAAGAGGTAGTTTCAATCTTTATGGATGTGAATCATTTTGTCAATGAGTCAACAGTTACTTGTTTTTGTTTTCTGTTTTGTTTTGTTGCCAGCCACTAAGTCCAAAGCAGTGATTTTGAATAATTAGTGATTGCTGTATTTTTTTCATATTTTCAAAATAGTATAATATAATATAGTATAGTATAGTATCAGTGAAGATGAATTAATACTTGACAGAGCTGAAAGTTCTGCCAATATTTATATCTAAATCGTCTGTTACTTCCCACTGTAACATGTACACTGAACATATACGCAGTGTACGTATACACACATACCCTCTTACTATATTAGAGTTAGAGGGCATTGAGTTTTTTTCTTTTCTTTTGAGACAGAGTCTCACTGTGTGACCCTCAGTAGAGTGCTGTGACGTCATAGCTCACAGCAACCTCAAACTCTTGGGCTTAAGCAATTTTCTTGCCTCTGCCTCCCAATAGCTGGGACTACAGGCACCCGCCACAACACCCAGCTATTTTTTCTTGCAGTTGTCATTGTTGTTTAGCTGAACCCACCAACCTCGGTGTATGTGGCCAGTGCTGTAACCACTGTGCTATCCAAGCTGAGAATTTTTATTTTGAAGATAACAACACAAATACATCTCAACCTCAACATAGCCCTCTCACTCTTCTACATTTATGTTAGTGTGTCCAAAAACCAGGGAAAAATGGGTCCTAACTTGTTGGTAGGTAGTTTGGCTATCTATCTTTTACTCTTTTTAAAACTCAATATTACATAAGTAACTATGTAATATTTAACAGCTATTATTACCTTACCACCCACTTCGGAAGCACATAAATAATAAGAGTAAATTAAATCACATTGTGCTTAATGTAACATTAATTTGGAGTATAGGAAACAAGTATTGGACCAATGTTGGGATTTTAAATAAAATCTTGTAGTTATTCCACCATATATTAGAAGATACCAGATAAGCCCAAGAATGGTTGCTGTGGTGTTCCTCACTTTAGGTCTCTGCACCTACACAGAATGTACCTTTTTAATGCTACCTGCACCCAAGTGCTGGGCCCTATGCAACCCTCATCTGCTTCAGTATGCACATAGCATCACGTAAGCAAACCGTAGCTTCCTTTTGTTTTCTTTTTTCAAGAGACAGTGTTTCTCTCTGTGATATAATCCTAGCTCATTGTAGCCTTGAGCTTCTGGGCTCAAATAATTCTACCCTCTTCTCCTAAATCCCTATTGCTAGGGCTATAGACTCAGATCACCAAGTCCAGCTAAATTTTAAGTTAACATTTTTTCATAGAGATGAGGTCGTGGTATGTTGCCCAGACTGGTCTTGAACTCCTGGCCTCCCAAAGCTCTGCGCTCACACCAGCAGGCACCATAACTAGCTAGATCATAACCTCTGCTCTCAGCCACGGAACTTTCTCTGATTTCCTTTCATTTGTCCTTCTCACAGGATTAGTGGTGCACTTTTCCTTCTTTAAAATATCAGGCCTTGGCTTGGCATCCATAGGGCGCCGGCCACATATACTGAGGCTAGTGGGTTCAAGCCCAGCCGGGCCTGCTAAACAGCAATGACAACTGCAACCAAAATATAGCCAGGCATTATGGCAGGTGCCTATAGTCCCAGCTACTTGGGAGGCTGAGGCAAGAGAATCGCTTAAACCCAAGAGTTTGAGGTTGCTGTGAGCTGTGACGCCATGGCACTCTACCGAGGGCAGCATAGTGAGACTCTGTCTCAAAATAAAATTTCAGGCCATCCCCCCTACAAACTCCCCATTCTGACCTGTATGATGATTAGATAGTTAAGTGTAGGCTCATGTTTTATCTCCACCATACTAATTTACTTGAGAGCCAACATCTGTATCTCCTAGCTTTTTTAGAACAAACGCTCCCACTAGACCTATATAGTAAATTCTTTTTGAGAAGGTGGGTGAATGTTAAAGAATCATAAAAGTATAGCTCCTTAGTGAATCAGAGAATTGGTGGAAGGTACAAAGCCTATGTTGATCACTGCTCTTTTGGAAAAACAAGTCAATCTTTATCCCTAGGTAGAAATAAGAAAAATAAGTTCTAGCTTGGTGCCCATAGCTCAGTGGTTTAAGGTGCTGGCCATATACACCGAGGCAGGCAGGTTCAAACCCCACTCAGACCTACTAAAGAACAATGACAACTACAACGATCAAAAAAATACCCAGGTGTTATGGCAGGCACCTGTAGTCCAGGCTATTTGGGAGGCTGAGACAAGAGAATCACTTAAGCCCAAGAGTTACAAGTTGCTGTGAGCTGTGACACCATCCCCCTCTACCAAGGGCAACACAGTGAGACTTTGTCTCAAAAAAATTAAAAAAAAGATTTCCTGATAGAGCCAGAAGAGGCAACTAAGAAGAAAGTAGTTATGAATCTGTCTGTCTGGGGATTAAGATTCTGTTTATTGTCCATGTGATTGAGACTTTACTGGGTTCATAATAAACTTGGAGAAGAATTTACTTAATACTATAGCAAAAAGTTTGTGGGTTTTTTTTTTTTTTTTTTGAGACAGAGCCTCAAGCTGTCACCCTGGGTAGAGTGCTGCGCCATTACAGCTCACAGCAACGTCCAACTCCTGGGCTTAAGTGAATCTCCTGCCTCTCCCTCCCAAGTAGCTGGGACTACAGGCGCCCACCACAGTGCCCGGCTATTTTTTGGTTGCAGCTGTCCTTGTTGTTTGGTGGGCCTGGGCTGAATTCAAACCTGCCAGCTCAGGTGTACGTGGCTAGTACCTTAGCTGCTTGAGCCACAGGTGCCGAGCCTTTTTTTTTTTTTGAGACAGAGTCTCACTTAGGTGCCCTGGAATTGAGTGCCATGGCGTCATATCTCACAGCAACCTCAAACTCTTGGGCTCAAGTGATTCTCTTGTTTCAGCCTCCCGAGTAGCTGGAAAGGCTGGAGCTACAGGTGCCCACCACAATGCTTGCCTATAGCAGGTTTCTAATCAAAAGGAAGCATCAGGTTGTTGCCCATCTTCAAATTTTTACAAGCTATAAAAACAGTGATACTGGGCAGCGCCTGTGGCTCAAAGGAGTAGGGCGCCAGCCCCATAGGCTAGAGGTGGTGGGTTCAAACCCAGCCCTGGCCAAAAACTGCAACAACAACAAAAAAACCAGTGATACTGTTGCCATTTTTGCTTTCTTCCAGGTGATTCATAAACAAAGTCTGTTGTCACTTAGTTTAGTACCAGTTATCTTAGAAACAGGAACTTACCACTTTATGTGATCTGGTGGAGAATTCAGCTTCAGTTGATGAAACTGAAGAACGTTCCATATTTTAGACAAGTATTTCTGTTTCAGAAACTGGGATGACTTCCAAGTTAGTTTTAAGAATCTTTTAATTTTTCCTGCTAGACTCATTAACTCAGCCAGTTCACCTTGGGGAAATCATAGTTCCAGACTTTCCGTAAAAAACTATCCTCCTAAGTGAATATGATGGTTGATTTAATTAACATTCAGACCCAAGGTTTTCAGTAGTTTATTCTGAAACCTGTTTGTTGTGACTTTGACTAGCAGGGAATGATTAAGATGAAGTTGTAGTAACCATCATAATATATAAATTATCTACATTAGAAAAACCTGAAATTCAGTCAGTACTTCTGTTTTAAAATTCTGCATCTCCAACTATATAGACTTTAATAGCTGGTAAGAACCTTAACCAGGGTTTGAACAATGTTTTTGTCTTAGTCATCTTTCTGAGATGATGGCAGCTCTCATGTATACTCCAGTCAGAAAAATATACATAAAAGCTTGCATTCAATTTCAAGGTTATCTCAGACTCCTAAAGGCTATGTATGGATCCTAGGTGAAGAAAAAAATTCCTGTGTCTAGTCCAAGGCCTACCCTTATGGGTCAGAGAAGTGAAGTGACATAGCTAAAGTCATAGGCATACAGCTTCTTTCTTTAGTTGAGTGCTCTGTTAGTTGGTTTTTCCTTTTCACCATTATATCCCTGTCCTTAAAACCAATTCAAAATTTATAGAACTTAGAGGAAGGGCTAGGGTGTTCAAGCCTCAACATCAATGATTTTTGCTTTTATTTACCCCAGTAGGAGAGTAAAATACAGTAATACCCAAAATACTTAAATGATTGATTCAGGAAAGCTTAGTGAACTAAGCAAAGTTTTTTTGTTTTGGGGCGGGAGGGTTTGAGACAGAGTCTCACTCTGTTGCCCTCAGTAGCTCACAGCAACCTCAAACTCTCAGGCTCAGGTGTTCCTCTTGCCTCAGCTTCCCAAGTAGCTGGGACTAGTGGTGCTCACCAGAATGCCTGGCAGTTTATTTTTTACTTTTTTCTCATTTTTAGTACAGATGAGGTCTTGCTCTTGCTCAGGCTGGACTCCAACTCCTAAGCTCAAGGAATTCACTGCCCTCAGCCTCCCAGAGTGCTAGAATTACAGGCATGAGCCACTGTACCCAGCCTCTATGCAAAGTTTTTGTTTGTTTGTTTGTTTGTTTTGAGACAGTCTGACTAAGTCACCCTGGGTAGAGTGCTGTGGCATCACAGCTTATAGCAACCTCAAACTCTTGGGACTTAAGTAATTCTCTTGCCTCAGCCTCCCAAGTAGCTGGGACTACAAGGCGCCCATCACAATGCATGGCTATTTTTTGAATTCTTGCTTTTTTTTTTTTTTTGCAGTTTTTGGCCGGGCCGGGTTTAAACCTGCCACCACTGGTATATGGGGCCAGCACCCTACTCCTTGAGCCACAGGCACCGCCCATCTGGCTATTTTTTAGTTGTAATTATCATTGTTGTTTGACAGATCTGGGCTGGATTTGAACCTGCTAGCTCTGGTGTACATGGCTGGTGCCCTGGCCGCTGAGCTACAGGTGCTGAGCCTCTATGCAAAGTTTTTATAATTTACCATGGTAACTTAAGGCCTAATTTTGATCCCTAGTTTGTCCAATTACTTCATTTTCTTACCTGAACTACCTGCTTTAGAATTCATCATAGAACTGTCAGACAGGTTACCCTAGAGGTTTGGTTTTATACATTTATTCTTTTCCTTTTCCTTTTCCTTTTCTTGTTTCTCTCCCTGTAATTGTGTTTAGGCTAACTTATCCTACCCAGCCTCTTCAAGCTGAAAAAAGGCATCAAGCTGAAAAATCTCATAACCGCTAGTTGCCATTTTTTATTATTTTCATCCCAGTCTTGTTGTTTCCTAGTACCGTACCTTTGATCGTGTTCCTCAGCTTGTCTGTACTTCAGTATCTTCATCTGTAATACTGGACACCGTCCCATTTATATTGCATTACATCGTGTTGTTATAAGAAGGAAATGTAGTACCTGGTTAAGTGGCAGCTTTTACCATTTCCGGCTACACTCTTCACATTATTTAGTGAAATCATGTAGGTGTCTCAGCATACTTGTGCTTATCCCTTTACTGCCTTTGTTCACTTTATCTTTCATTCAGCTTTAACCAACTTCTGTCTGGGTTCTGGTTACTGATGTATGGGTGTAAGCTGTGCTACATACTTTTTTCTCATTCCTCTAGTCATAATAGTTTCTTTTTTTTTTTGAGACAGAGTCCCACTGTGTTGCCCTTGGTAGAGTGCTATGGCGTCACAGCTCATAGCAACCTTAAATTCTTGGGCTTAAGCGATTCTCTTGCCTCAGCCTCCTGAGTAGCTGGGATTATAGGCACCTGCCACAATGCCTGGCTATTTTTTGTTGCAATTCTCATTGCTGTT